TACATTGTTGTTTTTTTACAGGTTGAAAACCCCTTTTTCCAAAAATTTGCCCTTTGGGAAAAAGGTTACGAGGTAGCTGGTTGGGACATTTTTGTTTTAAGGGGTTTAAAATTTCCCTAGTATATAGGGTTTTCAAGTTTTGGAAAATTCCGCTTGTTTTAATATTGACCTAAAATATCCAAACATTTTTAATTTATCCTAGAGGGCGAAAGAATTTTTTTTAAAATTTTTTGTAATTTTTAAATTATTTTTTCAAGGGGGGTTTTTTTAATAAAATTGACCCAGTTTTAAAAACATGTTGTATTTGAGTTTTGAAACGAAATTTTTTTTCAATTTGACACTTAAAAACTAAACTAGTTTTTAAACAAGCATTTTTAAAGGTTTGAAAAACTTGCCCCTTAGGGGTTTTTTTAAAAAATTTTGTTAAACCTTTTTTTTTCTTTTAAATCACTTAAAAAAGTAACACACGAATAATTTTTTCATAAAAACCATGAATAAAAATACATTTCTTTTTTATCTTTTTCGGTAGCCCCCCAAGAAAAATTTTAAAAAATTTTCCTTTTTCCTATAACATAAATTTCATGTATAATTAACAAATGAAAAAATTTTTAAATTTTTTCCTGTTTTTATTTAAAACTTTTTCCAAATAAATTCCTTTAAAAAGGTAGTCAAAGCCTTTTCTTTCTTTATTTTGTCTAAAAATTATAAAAATGGTTTTTTTAAATGAAAACACATTTTGGGTTTTTTGGGTTTCTTTAGCATTTTTCCAAATTGGGCCCGTGGGTCAGGGGGGAGCACCCAAACCTTTTTTGGGTGCCTTCTTGTGTTTTTAAACTATTTATTGATTTTTATTTTTAAAACACATTTTTACAGGGTTTTTGAGGCCCTTTGGGTTATTATTTTTCACTTGTTTTTCAAAAAAATTAAATTTTACCCAGTGTGGTTTTTCCGGTTCGAGCCGACAAACCCTTTTTGGGTTTTTTGGGCCCACCCTTGGATTTTAAAAATTTTAAAAAAACTTCTTTATAAAAAGGCCGTTTTTCAGGCCCCCCCAACGGGGTTGAAAATTGGCCCCCAAAATTGGGCGTAAAGGTACTTTGTAAGTTTTAATTCCCCCGGGGGGGGGACGTCTTTATTGTTTGGGACGAAAATACCACTTTTTCCAAAGTTTCCCCCCATGCCATTATAGGGGATTCAAAAATTTTTTGGGTTTGTTTTGGGCCCCCGTCACAAGAAATTTTTTAAAACCTGCCTTGTAAATTCAGGTTTTTAAATTTTCCGGGCCCAAAGGGAAAAACGAATGCCCCCGGAACCCCGCTAGGAAAAGCCTGGGACCCCCATGCCAAAAAGATTTTTTTTTGTTCCAAAGTAACAAAAATGTCCTTTTTTAAGGATTTTGGGGAGCAATTTTTTTAATTGCCAAATAGTTCTGGGTTATTAAAATTCCAAAATCAAGAAACGGGTCCCCACGCCCCCGCCCCTGCCCTACCAAAAAAAAAAAAGTACCCTTCCTTTACCCTTTTACCCCTCGTGAAAAAAAGGGTTTTTTGGCTTTTGGCTTAAGGTAACCCCTGAAATTTTCAGGGAAAAAGTGGGGGCAGGTTTTCCCCCAATTGTCTGCCCGGGGATTTTTCCTTAAAAAAACCTTTGAAACCCTAAAAGGGCAAGGTATTGACACGTTTTGATCACAATTTTCCACAAAAAAAAAAAAGGGAAATTCAGGGTGGGATAGGGGGAAAAAAGGCGAAGGGGGAAAAAATAAGGGGGCTGATACCCCCCTCTGGAGAAAATTTCTCCACAGTAACAGCCTAGTTGATCAGGCCCTGATCCATCAGGAGGCCTGGTCATGGACCGGGCCGCGGGGGCGTTGATCCTTGGAATAACCTCCAGGTAACTCCAGGCCTATTACTGGAGTATGCAGCATCAGTTTGGAATCCACACCTAGTCAAGCACATCAAAAAAAATAGAGAAAGTGCAAAGGGGATTTGTCCTATGAAGAAAAGTTGAGGGAAATAGGCCTGACGACACCAGAGGACAGGAGGGTCAAGGGAGACATGATAATGACATATAAAAATACTGTGCGGAATAGACAAGGTGGACAAAGACGGGATGTTCAGAGAAGGGACACAGACACTAAAGGTCACAATTGGAAGTTGAAGACTCAGATGAATCAAAGGGATGTTAGGAAGTATTTCTTCAGTCATAGAGTAGTCAGGCCATGGAATAGCCTAGAATAAGTGATGTAGTGGAGGCTTGAACCATACATAGTTTTCAGGTGAGGTATGATAAAGCTCATGGGGCAGGGAGAGAGAGGACCTAGTAGCAATCAGCGAAGAGGCGGGGCCATGAGCTATGACTCAACCCCTGCAACCACAAATAGGTGAGTTCATAAAGACAGACACAGGTAGACAGAGAGACACACTGGTAGACAGATACACAGGTAGACAGAAAGACAGACACACAGGTAGACAGAAAGACAGACACACAGGTAGACAGAAAGACAGAGACACTGGTAGACAGACAAACAAACACACAGAGATACAGACAGACACAGATATACAGGCAGACGATACAGACAGGTTTATGTGAAACAGTGAAAACAAATAGTAAGTTTGAGAGTAAGAGCCTTTCTTGCCACAATCTTCAGTGCAAGATTCAGACTTCGTCTTAGCAGCCATGGTGAAATTTACTTTCCAGTTAGTACAGTTAATACAGTATGATGCTGCTGATAGGGCAAGGTTACTCAAACTGATGCTGCCTGCATGACGCACTGCCGCCACGAGTATTGTCAAATACTGTACAGTGGTGTGCATCAGCCGGCCCAGCCCAGCTGCCAGATGCATGGTCATAAGTCGAGTGGAGTATGCCGAGCAGGTCGTAAGTTGGATGGTAGGTGTATTACTAGATTTAAAAGGAGAAACTTTTGTTTTTCTTTTTGGGCTACCCCGCCTCAGTGGGATACGGCTGGTGTGTTGAAAGAAAGACTTACCAAGATATAAGGCAGTGAAGTTGGCAGTGGATGCTCACCTGATGGCAATGTGGAGTACAGCCACTTGCAGAAATGTTGCCGATATACCTTTTTTCCTCTTTTTTTTTAATTTATGTAAATTTCATGTTCTTATAATTACAATTTATAGTAGTTCTTGTGATTTTATAGCCAATTTTTGTTCTGACACGACCTCCAGACCTCAGTATATGAGGTGAGTGCACTAGCAATAAAGATATGGAACACCATCAACCTAGGAATGATGGCATGTCACATTTGCTCCTGAGATATCACAAATTATTATGTTCTCTAGGCACCATGAGGGTAGACTTCTGCGCCAGCCTTTGTCGGGTCTGGACATCTCTCTATCACCTGAGTATCAGTGACAAATTTCCCCCGTTCTCACTGGGATGCTTGTCCTCATCTATTTAGCCCGCCGGGCACTCTACAGGAGGGGCACCTGTTCATCGGCTTACTTTAGCCAGCTCCATTTTTCCCGCTCTGCAGGAAATTCTTTAACGGTCTTTGGTGGGAAACCAGTTACTGTACTCAGGTGGGAGTGTTGGCATCCCTCTCTGCTGGGGCTTGGCAAGGGTGTCCACCGGATCTAATTGGAAACGTCAAGTTTCTATCACTGTTTACAAAGGAACTTTTTTTCCTTTTTCTCTCATCGCTCAGCCTTGGGCAACGATTTTTTCTCGTACCATTGAGAAACCGGGCTCGATACAGCGTATGCTGTCAGTGGCCCTGATAAACCCAACAAAGAAAGAAAGAACACCATGAGGGTAATGCTGAAGTTGTGGTAAGAATGAATGGGAGAGTGTTGGTACCTGGGGATGAACTTGATATCCTTTGGGTGAAATTTGACTCCAAACAATGGAAAACTACATTGTAGATCTTGCAAAGTGGTTGGGAACCTTACTTAGATGTATCTTTTATCTACTCAACAGTAGAGGTTGCATGAGTATATTCACATGTTGAGTATGCGCCACTTTCTTGGATTTCCTGCTCCCCATCATATCTGAGACTTCTTGACAGAATGGAGAACAGAGCAAAACAACTCATCTCTCTCCTGGACAGGTCTGTCATTTCAGTAGAGTCTTCAACACCAGAGAGATGTGGGTGGCCTTACTGTTACGTACAAGGCTAATAATGTCAAAGTACCACACTTGGCTCCACTCTGCAGACAGCAGGAAATGAGCTTCTACATAACAAGACAGTCAGCAAGGAGCAATTACACTGTAGCTTTCTCCAGAACATCACTTCATCTGAGATAATTTATTCATAGGATTACTTGAGTCTAGAATATGTTTGTACAGCATTATGACATCAACAGAATAGTCAGTTGGCCAAATAAAATCACTGACCCACAGTTAACAACAACTCTATCCTGTTCTGTATGTGTTTCAAACAAAAAGGGTTTAAAATGAGTTGATATAGGTAACAGCTCTTAACTTGTAAATAAAGTTAGGAACTCTAAACCTAACCTTGTAAAACTCTCTAAAGTTAAAAGAAAAGAGATCTCAAAGCATGATTGTATTAGTTTCTTCTTTGTATGTCTGGTCATGTAGCCAATACAGCACACCAAGTCTGGTTTTATGTTGTATTTATGTTATATGTAGTAATTAATATGAAGTTTTAGCAATGTATACCTCCATTATGTTGTATGTGGTGGTTAATATGAAGAAGTTTGACAATATATACCTCCAGTATGTATGTTGTATATAGTAGTAATATGAAGAAGTTTGACAATATATACCTCCAGTATGTATGTTGTATATAGTAGTAATATGAAGAAGTTTGACAATATATACCTCCATTATGTATGTTGTACATAGTAGTAATATGAAGAAGTTTGGCAATTCTTTTAACTTTCAAGATTGTCTATAAAATTCAATATGAACACTTCATTGATGAGTAACTTAATAGAATTCAATTCTACTGGCATAAAATCTAACCTGTTTAAATTCAATCCTATTAGTGTAAAATCTAACTTAATATTTATTTTCTACAGGATAACGACAAACCAGAGGAGTGTAAAGTGTGCTTTAACAATTATGATGAAGAACTACGACGACCACGCACTCTGCCATGTGGTCACACATTCTGCTCACAGTGTATTGAAGATACAATTAAGAACTCTCAGCTCACCTGCCCCAGCTGCCGTGCTGAGCACAGTGCCACAGATGCTACTCAGTTCCCGATCATCTATGCTATGGAGGCTGTGATAAAGAAACTCAGAAGTATCCAGGTTACATCAGTGGGAACAGTGTCAACAAAATGTGGTCAAGACCGCACAAGAGGCATAAGCAAAAAGTTACGATCTTTGGTACAGGAACACAAGAGCAGTATCAGTAACCTTATAAGTGAGTGTGAAGAAGCACTGTCCCAGCTGAGCAAGTACCAGGGGCAGGTGAGGGACTGGAAGATCCAGCATCACCAACTGCAGGACAGACTCTATGATCTGCTGGAGCAGAACAAGGCAGCAATAGAGCTCCTGGAACAGGAGGATACCAGTGTGCTGACTATGACAACAGAAGGAGAGGCAGGAAAGAAGCAGCTGCAGACCATGCTGGAGAACCTCAACACAGTCAACACTGCACAGGAGGTCGTCACAACCATTGATGAGGCTGATCAGTACAATGTGGAGGTTGAAGATTGGATCCAGAAGTGTCAGGAACTCTTCCCAGATGTTAACACTGTCTACACCTCAATAAAGGTATGATGCCACAAATATTATTGAACTTTCTAAACAATTTCTTAATTCATTTTTATATATTGATCCTGTTCTGTAAATATATACAACATCAAGAGCAATATTCAGTTATCTGTTATTAAATATATTAATCTTTCTTCTTTAACTGTAAATCTCCAAACGTATATATACGTTCTTACTGCTAGCTCCTCAAATGTATATTATATACGTTTTATTTTACCTGCCTCGTAATTTGGCAAGATTGGCCTGAGATGCCCGGTCAGCATAGAATGGGTCTTAACACTCAGTGTGCACCATATTAAAAAAATCTGGGACCACTTAGTACCTTGTGTGAGCATCAGTTAAAATAAGCGCCAGCTAGAGCAAACAGTGCGGCAAACACCAAGGATTCACTGATGTAATGTCATGTTAACACTCCCCTTTTAAGAGGAAAGTGATGTTGACCCCAAGTTTAGGGTCTGTCTATCTGTTTCTGTCTATCTGTCTCGGCCTATCTCTTCTTATCTCTCTCTCACAGGTACACATAAATACAATTATACTTAGTGTAAATTACCTAGGATAACCTAAAAAAAAATCCAGAGTTCTATACTGTGCTTGTAGATATAATGCATAAGAATACCTGTTGGTTCACAATGGGTCTCTCTGAGACAGAGAGACAGAAAGAGAGACAAGCATACAGAGAGAAAGACTTTGGGGACTAAGCGAGACGGGGCCCGGTATTCC